CATTTATAGTTAATATTAAGCCTTTGAGTGGTTATTTTTCGAGCAGTTGCCAGGACACAGAGAAACCCCAACTACATAAGGAAATCCCAACTCATATTTTTTTTTAAATAGGAAGTAGAACAGGACACAAAAACAACATACCAAAAATCATCCTGTTTCTACACACTATATGCACGTTCCAGAAAAGAAGTTTAGGAAAAGTCTCAGTTAGAGTACCATGAAACATAACAAAGTATCTAGGAATTAACGAGGTGAAGGATTTGTGCAATGAAAACTACAACACACTACTGAAAAAATTACAAGTGATATAAATACATGGAAAGACTATTTGGATTCAGGGGCAGGAAGATTTAATATGGTTGAGATGTTTCAGGGGCATAATGATGCATTGTGTAATTCCAGAATTCAGGAGACTGAGCTGGATTATAAATCAAGCCAGCCTGAACTACATAATGAGAGTATGTCTTAAGAACAAATAAGCAAATGAACAAAGATCTTGTTATAGTTCAGATCTGGAATAGCGAACAAAACATCATGGGTACTGGGAGGTGGTAGACTTTAAGAGAAGGAGCCTAGCAGGTGGTCTCTAACTGAAATTGAGCTCATCAACTGGCTAGGCTAGCTGGTCAGGAATCCACCCTTCTTCAGTTCTGCCTACCACTCCCCAGGAAGTACTAGGGTTACAAACATGCCTGCCTGGCTTTACTTTATATGGGTACTAGGGATCTGAACTCAGGTCCTCATGTTGGCATGGCAGACCCTTTGCCAATTGAGTCATCTTCCCAGTCCTCAAAAAGGGTTTTCTGGTTTGTTTTCTTGCTTGCTTTTTTAAAAAAAATCCATACATCTAAGTATGTTGCAACAGAATTCAAAGACAACTGACAGGACCTGAAGAAATAAGACCCCTGAACTTTTCTTCATTGTGCTACACAGACATTTGGTTTCCAGACCACTTATCTAATAAAGGAATAATATCCTGAATATATAAGAGTTCCTAAAAATGTAAACAGCAAATAAAATAAAACAAATAACCCAAGCTCCTAAAACTCAACAATGAAAAACAGCCCAATTGAAAAATGGAGCTGGGTGGTGGTGGCACATGCCTTTAATCTCAGCACTTGGGAGGCAGAGGCAGGTGGATCTCTGTGAGTTTGAGACCAGCCTGCTCTACAAGAGCTAGTTCCAGGACAGCCTCCAAAGCTACAGAGAAATGCTGTCTTGAACCCCCCCCCCAAAAAAAAGAAAAGAAAGAAAAATGGACAAAAACCTTGAATAAACATATTTTAAAAAAAACAGATACGCAATTAATAAACAGATGAAATGACACCTAATATCACCAATTACTAGGGAAATGCAAAGCAGTGCCACAATAAATACGACTTCACACCAATTAGGGTGGTTATTGCCAAAACCAAAACCAAAAATGAGCCCTGGGGAGATCCCAGACAAAGTGGAGTCCCCAAATGATTCCACTGCTGTAGGGAACAGAAGGGTGTTTTCTGACAAAGCAACAGACACAGGCATCATTGGTTCTGCATTCCACCTCTGGGTCAGACCCTGTGGTGGTGTGACTGACAATGGCCCCCATAGGCTCATAGAGAGTGGCACTGTTAGGATGTATGTCCCCGTTGGAAGAAGTGTGTCACTGGGCATGGGCTTTGGGGTTTCAAAAACTCAAGCCAGGCCCAGTAGCTCACTCTCTCTTCCTGTTGCCTGAGGATCCAGATGTAGAGCTCTCCTCAGCTCCTTCTCCAGCACCGTGTCTGCCGGTGTGCTGCATGCTTCCTGACACCGTGATAAAGGACTAAACCTCTGAACTATAAAAGTTCAGAAGCTCAAGACAGCCCCAGTTAAATGTTTTCCTTTATAAGAGTTGTTGTGTTCATGGTGTCTCTTCACAGCAATAGAAATCCTAACTAAGACATACCCAGAAGCCAGGGTATGCAATGGACATGTCCACAGATGAGGAGGGGTAGGAAAGGTATGGTGCAGACACACAGTGAGCATTATTTGATCCCCCAAAGAATGCAATAAACAACATGGACATAAACAACACGATGAGCCCTGAAGACGAAGATCTTATGCCAAGTGAGACATGCCAGACCCAAGAGGACAGCTCTAAACTGTGTTCAGATTGTAAACTGCACCCTACAGCCTCATGTGCTTAAGCATTTTGGTCCCAACTGGTGATGCTGTCTTGGAAGGCTGGGCCTAGCTGGGAGTCACTGGCCATAGGACCTGAGCATCAGAAGCCTGGTCCCAGTTTTTCCTCTCTGTTTTCTGAGAAGTCTTCTGTTTCCTAGAGAAGTCAAGAGCAGGTGTCTCACACTCCTACTGTCTTGTCTTCCCTGCCATGATGGACTAGGTGCCTTCATCAACTGCCAGCCATAGCAAACCCTTCCCTGTTTAAGGGTGGCTTTGTCATGTGTTTTGTCCCAGCAAGGAGAAATGTAATGAATACATTAGGGTGCTTCACTTAGGAGAAACTTAGCCACAGCAAGAGAGCCAGACAGTAGAGGTGTAGTGTCCAGGGCCTGGGTGGGAGGAGGGCTTGGAAAAATATTGTTCAAGAGATAGACTCACTTTGGGGTGAGGCGAGCTATGGAGCCAGGTAGCTGCACAATCCTGTGAAAGAAATTAAGCCCTACACAGAAACATTGTTAAAACGGTAAATTGTATGCTATGCTCATTTCACTGCAACAAACAAAGAATAGTGTTACAAAGGTAGAAACAAAGGAGAGAATAGTAAGCTGTCCTTAGCCTAAGTTACTCAGTGTGTGTGCAAATGGGTATTTTTACTGGTCCAGGAGATTTTCAAAGAATGTCTGAATAGTGTAAGTAGGTTTCTGGGACGGCAGAGTCTTACACTTTTGATAAGCAGACCAGACTTTTAAAAAAAGATTTGGGCCATCATATGGTAGTGTTTTCAGCAGTCATAAATCATCAAAATCCGTTTTTGTCATACCAGAATTTACACCTTTCAATCTGGTGCTCCCACCACACACACACACACACACACACACACACACACACACACAACATTGGTAGTGCCAATGGCAATAGGCCATTGGCAATTCTGGGCAGTTAGGAAAGGGCAACCACCCCTATGAGCAGGGAAGACCCCAGCTGCATTCGGGGAACAGAGAAGAAGATGGGTTCCATTTGCATCTGTCTCTCAGCTGGGAAGCCACACTTTCCAATGAGTACAGTGTTATATTTTATAGATCTTATATTATGTAGAGCGTGGTAATGGTGCCTGTAAATCCCAGCACTTGGGAGGCAGAGGGCAGAGGATCATGAATTCAAAGCCAACATGGGCTACATAGCAAAGACACTGCCTTTCAAAATTACAAAGTAAACAACAAAAAATATAATACAAGTTTTTTTTAAACTTAATGCAGTTTCCTGAAATAGCTTTCTCTGAGAATCACATTCAAGCAAGATCTGTTCTTCTCAGTTGTTTTATGGATGTTATATAGCTTCATCTCTTCCTAACTGCTGGCTGCTATTTCACAACCACAAGGATATGCAAGACGTTCTGGGTTCCTGAACTCTGACCCTCCATCTCAGAATGCCCTAAGAGATTAGATAGTGAGGAAAAGTCTGTTTTTCTCTATTTCCTGTTCATCCTCAACTGGCTCCTAGTAACACAAGTCATGTATTAACAGATGGGGCATCTCTGGACCTGCTCTCCAATGTTGATCCACCAATGTCAGGCCAGAAGCAGTTGTACAGTCAACACAGCATGTGATTTCAGAGAAGTACGGATTGTTGAGATAGCTGCTGAGCAAGTATGAGGATGCGTGCGTGCGTGCGTGCGTGCGTGCGTGCGTGCGTGCGTGCGTGTGTGCGTGCGTGCGTGCGTGCGTGCGTGCGTGCGTGCGTGCGTGTGTGTGTGTGTGTGTGTGTGTGTAGAAATAAGCAGACCCCTGGAGGTTTCAGGCCAGCCATTCTACCTAATCTGTGAGCTCCAGGTTCGGTGAGAGACATCTAAAAACACAAGTTAGAGAGTGATAATGGAAGATACAACCTATGATCTCCACATGCACTCATACACATGTACATGCACAGATATGCACAACAAGCAGAAAGGTAGAAGTAATAACTCCAAGAAGCATGGTTCATGTGCACTAGGCTCTATGCTGCCTTGGTTTTCAGGGTTGGGGCAGCAGCCAGGGCCTCACATTGTAAGCAAGCACTCTGCCACTTGGCCTCAGTCACAGCTCTACACTGATGGGTTGTTTAGAACAAGGTGTTGTATATATCACACCCCAATGTGTGATTATTTGTAATCCTAAGTGATGGGTGTTCATCTCAACAAACCTAAAAAAGTAAAATGACCAGGTAATGCTGAGTCAGCAAAGGTGTCAGGTTTTTGTTTCTTATCCATAGACATGGAAGGTGCCGGGGTGGGGTATGCAAACAAGAAAGAGGAGATCCAGCTGGGTAGCCCAGACTTTGAGAAAAGGCAGGAAAGCATAAACAAATTTTCTCCTCAGCTCTGTCTCTGGATTATAGTCAATTTTCCAATGCACTCCAACCATTTACCAAATAGGTAGATAATATAGTGCCCTGCAGCATCTAATGGGGGGGGTATACAATTAGACCTTTCCTTTGTTCCCCACATCCGGTTGTAACAGAGTCCCAAACCTTGGTAGGCCCCCAGACCTTAACATAACCGACTCCATAATGGAAGTGCCATTCAGGTTGTAAAACTCAGCACACAGCACCACCTGCCAAAATATGAAACAAAACAAACAAACCAAAAAAACCTAATCCATCAAAGTCTATAGTTCTGGAAAAGTCTCTAAATGTACTAACCTTGCTTTTTGGCTTCTGGGGTTCTGTTTCTGGCTAACTGTTCTTGTTAACTTAAGTATGTCAACCCAGGATATGCTTGTGCTTAAAGGCTCCCCCTGGGAAGGGCTCGGGGCTACACCAGCATCCCAAACACCCAGTGTAGCTGCTGTACACTAATGAAGACTTTCTATTGGCTTCAGCCCATGTCCGAGCAGTCTTCTCCGGTGACTACTCCACATCTGTTACTTGGACCTTAGGTGAGTGGATTGAGTCACGTACGCAGCTGCCTGCGAATCTTCATCTAAAATAAACCTAAGCGGGTGCTGGCTGCTAATCTGCAACTCATAAACCTTAGATGCACCGAAGTACTTCTTGTTCTGATAAAACTCGTGGGGGACCTTGGTGGATTCCATGGCCGGCTAGGGTGACCGAGGCGGAGGGACAAACATGCCAGGCAGACAGAGCTTGATGAGAAATTTTATTAGAAAGGGAAAGGGAGGGAGGAAAGAGAAAAGAGCTAAAGAGACAGAGGCAGGACAGAAGAGAAGAGGGAGCCAGGAAAAGTCCTGTCTGCCCCTAGGGGAACAGTGGAAAAGAGAGCACGGAGAGAGAGAGTGTAAGCGGGTGGAGGTCTTTATTTTAAAGGGGTCCTTTGCCCCTGCTTGCTGACCAGGGTTCTGCCAGGTGCATTCTGCCAGGTGACAGGGGCAGGCCAGCGTAATGCCTGAATCCTTACACTTCTTTCTCTTGAAAAGGCTCCATCATATTTTATTCTCTACAGTAGTGACTGCTTTTCCTAAGATTTGCTCAGTTTTAGTTCTATTTTGAGGAAGAACAAGGCAACACAGCCGAGAATGTTTTCCCTGGATAGGATAGTTCTGCCCAGGCTTCCAGCCAAGGAAAACAGACATGACTCAAGAACCATCATCACACGGCCAAGACCTGCCACCCTTTGGCTTGCAGGCTTTTTTTTTTTTTTTTTTTTTTTTTTTACAGGCAAGGGTGAAAAAGTTAGAGGTGTTGTAATCTCTGTCCTCCGGGGCTCCCCTGTAGCTCTGGGCCTGCGTGCATTGTCAGCGCAGCAGAGGTGTGGGACAGGTGTGGCCAGGTGACGCCCTGTGGGAACCGCAGCAGAGCCAAGAAGTACATGACACCAAGAAAACAAGTTTAAAAAGCACGGAGACTGAGGTGAGAGGTCCTCCAGGTGAAGCAGCCAGGACTTGGAGAGGGCGGGAAGCTTGCCTTGGTGGTGAGCAACCTGTAATCCCAGCGCTCAGAGACCACCATAGGAAGACTGTGAGCTACACAGAGAGATCTAGTCTCAGTAACAAAACAAGGGCAGATGGTACTGTCTGCTCTGAGGTGGAGTCTTCAATCCTGTTAGCTAACAAGAAGTATGACTTTCTAGATCAATCCACCAGGTTCAGCTGTCTGAAGCTTTGGATTTAGTTACTTTTTCCAGCTATTGAGAGACTGGGGAAGAGAAGTCATTGGTTTGTCTGTTGAGATCAAGCATGTCTGGCGGCTCCCCACTCCCATCCCCCCATCCCAGAGTATAAAGGTGTGTAAGAGAACTCTGAACTTCTTTACAACTCGATAATCATTTTTTTGTTTTGTTTTTAAAGAGTTATTTATTATGTATACAGTGTGTATCCAGTGTTCTGCCTGCATGTATGCCTGCAGGCCAGAGGAGGGCATCCGTCTCATTACAGATGGTTGCGAGCCACCATCTGATTCCTGGGAATTGAACTCAGGACCTCCAGAAGAGCAGTTAGTGCTCTTAACTGCTGAGCCATTTCTCCAGCCCATAATCCAATAATCTTAAAAATAGGAAACCAGATGAGAAAAAAGAATGAAATCAAGGGAAATGTAGGCTGCTGCTGTGGATTGAATTGTCTTCAGGATACATGTTGGAGTCCCACTCCCAATCCTCAGGCTATTATGCCATCCTTTCAGATTTAGCCAAACCAGGATGAGGTCACTGGCACACAGGGAATGTTGGAGTTTATGGGAGTTGAAGGGTGTGAAGGGTATGGAGGGTGTGGAGGGTTAGGGTTAGGGTTTACGTTGACTCATAAGTTTTATCAGCCCCACGGCTTCAAATTTACAGCCTATAGCCACTTAACCTTGTTGCTTTGGGCCTGTAGCTGAATAGTAGAGGAGGCTGCTCATCTCACGGGAACCAGGCAGCTAGAGAGGAAGGGGTTAGACAAGGTATGTAGCACAGTGTACTTGCCTAGTACACATGAGGCCCCAGGTTCAAGCTCCAACATAGAAATAGGGATGGGGTTCCAAGAGCACTGTTGTTTTAACAAAGTCTCAATTGTTCAATTTTACCAGTAAAGAAGACAGGTGCTGGGGTGAGCCTGCTAGCTCAGAGATACAGACAGAACACCCAGCTGACCTTCCTCCTTCACTGATGTCCTAGAAAAACCGCTCTCACCTACGATGTCTCAAGCAAACAACAAACAAACTTCAAACCGAATGTCCCTCCTTACTGGTTCCTGTACGGCTGCCCTCCTGACTCCCTCTTACTCTCTGTTTTTTTTTTTTTTTTTTTTTTTTTTTTCTTGTTCACTTCCTGTCAGTTGTTTGCTTGCTCTACCTATTGACCTATGGTTGACTTTATTTAATCCTGTTTACAATAAGCAAAAAGCTCTTGGATTAAAGGTGTGTGCTAGGGCTGAGCCACACCATAACTAGATCAAATTTCTTGCAATACATCCTGGGCCCCGGGAACCTCAATTTCTTCTACTAAGTCACACCTCCTAAAGGTCACACCATCTCCCAGCAGTGCTGAGAACACACTGGCCTCTGTGGGAAACATTTTGTAAGTGAGGACACAGTGAAACCACTAGACTAGGCCACTCTGTGTGTAGAAGGAAAAGTTTATAGGGGGAGCACCAGAGAGTAGAGTATAGCAGATCATACTATATGATGGTCAGTAGTGTGGGTTTAGATTAACCAGGAACGAGATGCCTTCGCTGAAGGTAGTTGACTATGGGCAGATAAGGAAGTAGTGACTTTCCTGGTGACAGAAACCCACCTTACCAGATTCCTGAGGAATGCTGAGTTTAGGTCTCTGTTTACCCAAAAATAGCCCAGATTGTCATTTTAGGACATTGTTGGCAGCACTGTCATTTGGGGGTCTGCTTTGAGCCTAACACATTCGAGGTCTAAATTACAGCAATTCTTACAACATTACATTTTACTTTTTTTTTTTTTTTTTTTTTTTTTTTTTTTTTTTTTTTTTGAGGCAGGGTTTCTCTGTATAGCCCTGGATGGACTGAAACCACCTCTGTACAAACAGGCTGGCCTTGAATTCAGAGATCCACCTGCGTCTGTCTCCCAAGTGCTGGCCACCACCATACAGCTACATTTTAGATTTTTAAAATTACATCTATCTATTGAATTTGTGTATGTGCATGCACACACACATTGCACATGTGTAGAGGTCAGAGGCCAAGTTGTTAGAGTCAGGTATCTCTTCACACCATGGGGGGGGGTCCCAAGGATCAAACTCACGCCATCAGGGGGAGCGCTTTTACCCACTGAGCTATCTCACTGTCCACCACCATTGTGTTTTAAGTTGTCACAAATTCTTTTCCACTAAGAGGTAAGGTATTTGTCCCTTCCCTACAGTAGAGCTCTTTGGAGAGAAACTTGTTTAGTTTTGATGACACTAAATCCAAGCCCTGAATGTTCTAGAATTTCCTTTCCCAGGTGATACTGTCAAGCTGTGGGATGAAAGGATCTAGTGAAAGGATAGAGAGCCTTGCTTTTAAATGTAGTCTGGTGATGTCTTTCTTGTAGCTGAAGTATTTAGCTCATTTATGTTTGATGTACTTGTTAATATAATTGGACTTGAATTGTCATTTTTCTATTTGTTTTTAATTTGTTTCATCAGGCTTTTACTTACCAATGTCTTTTTTCTTGAAGTCCTAGGCTTAATAAAATCCTTGGCTAAAATTAAAATCTCTGATGCAGTGGAGTTAGAAGGATGGCTTAACAGTTAAGAACATATACTGTTCTTGTAGAAGACCCAAGTTTGAGCCCCAGCACCCATGTCACCTCTAACTCAAGATTCAGAGGGTTCTAACCACTCTGGCCTCTGTGGAAAAATGTACTCATGTGCACATACTGTTCCCCCTCTACACAGAAACATAGACATAAGAAATGTAAATCCTGGGGCTGGAGAGATGGCTCAGCGGTTAAGAGCACTGACTGCTCTTCCAGAGGTCCTGAGTTCAATTCCCAGCAACCACATGGTGGCTCACAACTATTCGTTATGAGATCTGGTGCCCTCTTCTGGTATGCAGATATACATGGAAGCAGAATGTTGTATACATAATAAATAAATAAAATCTTAAAAAAAAATGCAAATCCTGTTTTGTTCTGCAACTCAATCTGTAGACCAGGCTGGCCTCGAACTCAGAGATCTGCCTGCTTCTGCCCCGAGTGCTAGGCCTTTTGTTTTTGTTTTTGTTTTTTGCTTGTTTGTTTTTAATCTCAGAATTTTCTAGGTAATTGCTGATATCAGTAAGCTCTAAATTATGGATTTTGAACTTAATTTTTAAAAATATTTATTTATTCTCATTTTATGTCTGCAGGGTAAAAGGTCTAAGCTCACTTCTGGGTGTGAAAACCCATCAATCCTGCACTTGATCCAAGCTCAAGACTTGAAATCCCCATCCTGGAAATCTCCACCCTAGAAAATTCTGTCCTCAAGAAACCCTATATAAAGCCTGCCTCCCACTCAGTTCACTGCTGCTTCCCACCCAAGCAGAGGTAGCCACCCTCTTATGTCTTTCTCAATAAATCTCTTGTGTGAGGTTTGTTGTATGGTGTGACTTTGTGGTATTCCTTGGCTCCCAACTGCCAGGATGCCTTTCCCCTCCGAGCTGCACTTTTACTGGGGAAACTTTTCCTCTCAGAGTTGTAACACTTACAATGTGTTTTGCCAGCATGTATTTATGTGTACTATAAGTGTGCCTGGTGCCTAAGGAGGTGAGAAGACATCAAATCCCTTGGAACTGAACATTGTTGTGAGTCACTGTGTCAGTGCTGGGAGAAGAACCTGGGTCCTCTGGAAGAGCAGCAAGTGCTCTTATCTACTGAGCCATCTCTCTAGCCCCTGTGAACCTAATTTTTGTTATAGCATGTTTTCTCTACTATGCATGACGATGTTGGTGAAGTCACAATCAGGTTGAATCATATTTGAAATCATCAGAAGTATTTGGGTGTTGACTGAAAGGGTGATTTTGTTGTTGTTGTTTGTTTTGAGCCAGGGTCGCATGTAGCCCAGGCTGACCTTGAACTAGCTGTGTAGCTGAGGATGCACATTACTGCATGGCAGTTTCTTGAGATTAAAGCTTCCATCCTTAAGGGAAGCTCCTTAAGACACCCAGGATCTTCAAGGGGAGGTGAAACAATAGGCTCTTCTAAGGGGAGGTAAAAGATTCCATCCTACTGGGCAGCTCCTTAAACTTGGGAAGTAAACAATTTAATGTCTTCAGGAAGTCCCTCAAACTGACCAAATTCACTAGGCAACTCCCTTCTCAAGCATACATAAGCAGTAAGGTATGCTAAGAGACACTCTGAGACAAGCTGAGCTGCCTGGAAGAGGCTCACCTCAACTGAACTACCTGGAAAGGACACCCTCCAATGTGTTGAGCTGTGTGCAGCTTATAAAGGCTCCGGATTTTGTGAATTGTCATTCTTGATGGTGAGGGCTTTGGTGATACAGCCGACTTTGAGTCACTTCTAGTCTTGTAAGTAGCCCCAATAAAACTTGGTTTCACCAAGTTACACTTTGGTGATATCCTTACTTTAGTCGTCATTGGTTTTCTATCTGGAGTAACTACATGTTTGCCATGTCTTCAAGGAATAGTGTCACATGACAACCATAAACTCTTGATCCTTCTTAATCTTGAGATCCTATAATTCATAGCTGTGTGCTCCCTGCTGTGATCTTATAATGCTCCCCTTTAGCAAGTACTTATTCATTCATTTATGTAGGGAGAGAGCAGTCTGCAAGAAGTCAGTTCTCTCCTTCTACCATATGGGTCCCAGGTATAGAACTCAGGCCATTAGTCTTGGCATAAAGTGGCTTTACTCTCTAAGCGAGGATAACTTTTTAAGCCATTGTTATGTAGAGATGCTTCTGATAAATCCATATAAAGATGCTGATAATTGAGTACACAGTAGTTGCTCTTAGAAAGGACCCAGATTCAATTTCCAGCAACCACTTGGTGGTCTACAGATATCCATAACCCCAGTTCAGTTCTAGGGAATCCAACAGGTATGCACATACATGCAGGCAAAGCATTCATCCACATAAAGTAAAATAAATAAATCTTTTTTAAAAAATCCATATAAAAGAGAAACTACACATGCAAGAGATTAAAGCTCAGGGTGATTGAGTAATCATGGGAAAGATGACAAGTTAAAATGGAGGCAATTAACATTTATTGGTTTCTGGCTATGTTCCCAGCAAATTCCAGCTGAGGGAGTATAAGCTCAGGAGAGATGCAGCCCTCACAAGGAGATCAAGGCTGGTGGGAAAACGCACCTGCGGGCTCTGCAAGTATCACCATTGTGGAGAACAATATGGAGGTCCCATGAAAACCTGACTAGCTCAATCTCATGACCCAGCTGTCCCACTTCAGGCAGATGGCCGAAGGACATGCCATCAGCATATTGCAGAGACACCTGCAGCCCCATGTACCCTGCAGCACTGTTCACAGTAGCCAAGGTAAAGAATCGGTATAGCCACTGATGGATGAATGGTTAAAGAAAATATGTGCACAACAGAATGGCACCCATGCATAAAAAGAATGACATCACCTCATTGCAGCAGAATGGATGGGACTGGAGGCCAACGTGCTATAAAATAACCCAGACACAGATAGAGAAATACTATGCTCTCTCTCACATGAAAAAGTTCATTTTTTTTAATTTTTAAATTTTCAAATGTTCAAAACTAGTGTTGACTAGAAGTTGAGGATGGGGGGCAGCTTAGATGGATACTGGGTAATGGGTACCCAAACAGCAAGCTAGAGTAAGAAGGAAAGAAGTTCAAGTAACTATGGCTTATGGGATATATTATATGTGTTATTTTGTATATTTTATGGAAAACTAGAAGGGGGTGCTGTGCAACAATCTTTGTATACTGTAAATATGTATTACTCTTATTGGTTAATAAAGAGCTGACTGGCTTATAGCTGGACAGGAAGAGACTGAGTGGGAGAGCCAGACTAGGATACCGGGAAGAAAAAGCCAGGCTAGGAGGACACTGGGAAGAAAAGGCTAGACTAGGAGGACACTGGGAAGGAAAAGGGTGGAGTCTGAGGAGGAGTCACAAGGAGATGTCAGGACTCACGGGAAAGCAGCATGGGCAGTAAGTACAGAGTAAGGGTAATAAAAACGACATGGCAGCATGTAAATTAATAGAAATGGGTTACTTTAAGTTGTAAGAGCTAGTTAGTCACAAGCCTAAGCTATCGACTGGGCATTTATAATTAATAAGTCTCTGTGTGGTTATTTGGGAGCTGGCTGACAGGACAGAAAACAACGACTACAAAGGAGGATCTCAGAGGCTACAAGTGAGCTAGAGATGCTAATTATCCTCCTGTGATCAACTTTCCCTGCTCTCTAAATTCTTAAGACTGTCTCTAAGAAAGAGTTGAACCTCATGGGCTTTTTAAGAGAATCATGGGATGATCCTTAAAAGTTTCTGTTTGGATACATTGGCAAGGAGGCGATTAGCTGGTATCATTAATGACACCTACACTAGAAACTTCCACACCAGGTCCCAAAGTAATTTCCACGAGAACAGAATCTGGCATACCACGGATAGAAAAAAAGGGTGAGTATACTTCCATGAATATGCCATCATGAATATTCATAAAACTTTAAACTCCACCCATAGAATTCTATGGGCAGTTACTCACTCCCCTTCAGAGCAGCCTGCTTTACCTTTGTCTTCAGTGTAGAAGGGTCAATTCTAGAGATGCCTGCACCCATGCTCTCAGGTAAGTCTTTCTTTCCAATGTCCTCTATATTAACTACTACTTTTTAATATGTTAAACTTGTCTTTCAGGGTTCAGCAAGATCACACTCAGTGGGTAAGACTCACATTGTGGCAGAGGAAAAGCAACTCCTGAAAGTTAGTTATCCTCTGCCGTCTACATTTGTCAGACACACACACACACACACACACACACACACACACACACACACTCGTACCCACGCACGCACGCACGCGCGCGTACGCCTACGTGCACAATTTTTTAAGAGATTTTTAAGATTTATTTATTATGTACACAGTGTTTTGCCTGCATGTATGCCTGCAAGCCAGAGAGGGCACCAGATCTCATTACAGATGGTTGTGAGCCACCATGTGGTTGTTGGGAATTGAACACTAGACCTTTGGAAGAGCAGCCAGTGCTCTTAACCACTGAGCCATCTCTCCAGCCCCACAAATGTAATTTTTTAAAAAGTCTTTTAGCTGGTTGTGCCTGGCTTTAATCTTCTGGAGGCAGAGGCAGGAGGATCTCTGTGAGTTCAAGGCCAGCCTGATGTATATATTGAAGGCCAGCCAGGGCTACATTGATGTCGTTTAATAAACTAGTGGGGTGGAGGAAATGGCTTCTTCAGTAAAGGGCTTGCTGTGCCAGCTGTTAAGTAAGGCAACAACTGCAAGGCCGGGGAAGGCGTCAGGCCCTCCTGGAGCCTTCAGGAGTACAGCAGTCCTGGGCCATGCTTGATTTCTGTTTAGTGAGTTCCATTCTAGACTTCTGGCCTCCAGGCCTTAGCATCAGGAGTCTGTACTGTGTGCACTGATTATGCTGTAGTAAGGAGGTGCACGAATCTCTATTAAAAAGTAAAGCCAAGGATTCTCCTTAAGCAGCCACTCCGCCTTATTGTTATCATTATCATATAAGACACTCGACCTGCCAAATACCCGGAAATGCTCTTGCTCCAGTGGTATTAGGAAGCTCGGAGAGATGTTGGTTGTTTGAGACAGTCTCACTGTGTACTTCTGGCTAGCCCAGAACTCAGAGAGACCCACCTGCCTCTGCCTCTGCCTCCTTAGTGCTGGGACTACCTTACCAAGCACCTCCTGGGTTTTGTTTTACAAGCTTGAGGTGGTGCCTGTGAGATATCTCAGTGGGTAATGGCATTAAAGTCTGACAACTCAAGTTCAACTCCCCCAAACTGGGGGTCCCTTGTGAAGGCTGAAGGAGAGAACTGACTCCCAAAGTTGTCCTCTGATTGTCACAAATATGCCTCCTGAGACTCGCAGGATGTGCAGAACGTCAGCTGCACCAGACCTGCTGCACCAAAGTGACTGTTAACAAGATGACTATTAAAGTCTGACAAACACGAATCAAGTTCAAGTTGAGCTCAGACTCTCTACCCTGCCTCCAACCCTTAGCTTCCAATATACATTCTAGGACAGTGGTTCTCAACCTGTGGTTTGCAACCCTAGAGGGGTCCAACCAACCCTTTTATGGGTGTTGCCTAAGGCCATTAGGAAACACAGACATTCACATTACAATTTATAACAGTAGCAAAATAACAGCTATGAAGTAGCAATGGAAATAATTTTATGGCTGGGGGTCACTACAACATGAGAAATGTATTAAAGGGTGGCAACATTTTAGGAAGACTGAGAACCACTGTCCTGGGGACTCACCTGACCCTCCCTGATTTGACTTTCTGTAAAGATACCTATTACTTGCCACAAGGTAAGTGTCTGAGGGCACCTTATGTAAAGGTGCTTTATCCACTTTGAGGTGGCATGGGGTGGAATGCAGTTTCTCAACA